ACCTTAAGTATAAATCAGAATATTATTACAGATTCTGAATCTACATGCAAAATAACCTAGGGTAGCTCACCAAGTGTACCCCTGAATTATTACTCCTTCACTTACTTTGTAGTCCTTGAGTGATATTGGACCAAAATACACTGTAGACCCCTCCAGTTACATCATACTACATGTTGTAAGGGGGCTACATGTGTAATTAAGGTTCATACAGTTCGGGAAAAATCTACAAACAAGTTTTACATCATTGAAACCTTAACTACATGAGCACAGACTACAGTATTAAATTGTTTGGGATGATCTGTGGCCCTTTTTGGCCCAATTGGGACAATCACTCTCTTGAGGATCAACCCATGCATCATGTAGTGCTTACATAGGCTACAGGAGTGTTACAGTTTCTTCAGAACACCCTGTAAACATGGTTACAAGCATTACATCATCTCCTTGACACCTGTAACCAAGCTCTACAGGTGCTACAGATGATCAAAAGCTCCCGTAGGCTTAGTAGGAGAGTTGTAGCAACTAGAGAGACTCCTGAGTTCGCCTCCAGAGGCCCAGAATGGGTATTTAAGAGCCCCTTCTTCCCCCTAAACTTGGTTTCCCCATCTTCATCAGTACTTACCAGCATAAACCGTCACCAACAACCAGTTTCAACCTGCCTTTTGGCCCAGTTCCTGCTGTTATCAACCTGAATTTCACTCAACAATCCACCACCTGTTCCCCAGCACTCTCCCAACACCTCTCACTCACCTTTCTGAGCGCTTCAAGAACAGTCCCCCTCTCCTGAAGACCTCCTTGGCTTAGAGATAAGTACCAGTAAGTATTATCTCTTTGTTTCTTCAGTAGTAGACTTTTTTCTGGGTTTACTCCTTTATTATCAAGGACCAGAACTTCAGTACCACCCCTGCAACTCAGGACCTGAATTAGAGGGCACAGTAAAAAACCCCTGCAACTCAGGCCCCTCTGTAAATAAAAACTTAACAGTTTTTATTTACTATTTTCTTTTATTTTACACACACTTCCCCCACTTTTTACGTGTCACCCATTACTCTTTTTCACCCTTTATATGTGGTCCAAATTCCACAAAGGTTAAGTCCACACTCCTTTAAGCTTATTTGTTTCCAATGAACCAAATAACAGGAGATTATAACAATTAATAAATTGTTACAGTTTGGATTTTTAAGCAATAATAATTGCTAAGAAGCAGCTGGAAAGCACTTGAGCTGATTGGCTACTTGTCAGATGTGGTAGTCTTGCAGCAACTGCTTTATAAGGAATTTTAGTGAGGGATGAAAGGGGAATTTCAAAGTTACACACTAATAATTCCAGTAGTAAAAGGAAGATTGGGATTGGGTTTACTACTCTAAAAGTAGGAGGAGAATATTCACTGTACTTACTAAGTATGTTGTGGGTGAATATGCTGAGGAACCAATCTTAGGCCAAGAATGGCCTCCTTTTATATTCTAGAGTCCCCCTTGGGGGCATTCTTAGAATATTCTAGAATGTTTATTTAATGTACTACAATAGTAGTTCTCTCATGATGTAATGAGAATATTGTAGTAGATTAAATACAGTATTATCTATGTCCCCATGACATCATGATGTATTGTTATAGCCAATTACATCATGTGTCTACTTATAATAGAATAATACTGATGGAAATTACCACACACTTAACAAAGGTGGTAATTTCTACACTTTTGGGTTATAGTTTCAATTTATGGTTGTAACTATAAATTTAATATTTGTTTTTATCTTTATTTTATAATCTTTTTAAGGTGTTTTTATACTTTTATTCCTACTAACCTCTGAGGCTCTTGAGTTATGACAAAGTCCTAGAAGGAGTAGGAATTTGGGGATGGTTCCAGTGAGCAACCCCCTCTAAAATATTATGAAAAGTTCATTTATACAATAATATTCTAGGTTTTCTTATTATTATTACAAGTAATATATTATTAAGCAGTCTTTTGGATACTCTTGAGGATCTCTAAGGCTGACACTCCTCAGTTAAAGACACTTGAATAATCAAGAGAGCACTGTAGGAGACAATAACAGAATATGTTATTGTAGAGTGTTTGGAAGCAATAATTAATATTGCAAGAAGTAGCTGGCAAGCACCTGAGCTGAAAGGCTACAGTCAGAGGTGGTGGTCTTGCAGCAACTACTTTTTAAGGAATTAGTTAAGTTTTGAGTCTGGGATAACTCTCAACTTAATAATAATTCCAGTAAGAAGGTAGGGTTGGATTGGATAATAAAAAGACTACTCTAAAAGTAGGAGGAGAATATTCACTGTACTCACTTAGTTTGTTGGGGGTGAATATGCTGAGGAACCAATCCTAGGCAGGAGAAGGCCTCCTTAAATATTCTAGAGGTCCCCTTGAGGCCCTCCTTAGAATATTCTAGAATCTCTCTTTTAGTATACCATGGTAGAATTATTCCCCTGATGTAATGGGAATAATTCAAGGTATTTCAAATAATGTATATTCTATGTCCCATGACATCATGATGCATGTTTATAGCCAATTACATCATGTGTCTCCTTAAATAGAATATTACTAGTAGAAAGTACCACACTCTTGACATAGTGTGGTAATTTCTTTTCTAAAAGTTTTAATAAATTGATTATGCTTGTAGAATAAAATTTCTAAGGTTACCCTAAATGTATATTTAACCCTAATTTAATATACATTGATTTCATTCTATAAATTTATATATTTTATTCCTTTTGTCCTTCAAGAGTTTGAATATATACAAAGTCCTTGAAGGAGTGGGAATTTGGGGATAATTCCAGTGCACAACCCCCTTTATAGTCTTATGAAATATTATTTTAGGGGGGCACGACGTCCTGGCCCCCGTCGCCAGGTGGTCGCCGCGATGTCCCGAAAATTTGGGAGTCGGAACTCCAAATTTTGGGAGTCGGTTGACGAAGACCCAAATAATATTATTACATATTATATTACATATTGAGTATTTTAATACTTAATCTTCATTTAGCAGTCTTTTGGATACTATGGAGTATCTCTAAGGCTGACACTCCCTACCTCTCCCAAAAAAGAATTTGTTATTTTTGAACAAAAAATAATTAATTCTTTGAGTGGTTAAAAATTCTCTTGTTGGGAATGTCCTTAGTATCAAGTTATTGATGCCTATATCTCAATTGGATGCACTAGATATGGAAGAACCATCACCAAATTTGTCGTCAGAGCTTTGACCTTGGTCATTTTTGGGTTTCTCTCTTATATCCACCTGGTTTATTGTCTTTAAATCTTTCTGTGGGCATATGTGAGAGGTGTGATCTATCTTCTGGCAGATGTAACATTTTTTATCTTTGTGTATATTATCCACCTTTGATTTATCTCCAGTAATGCTACATTCCACTTTTGCGTAGGATTGTGATTCTTCCTCAGTGTTAATCTTTTTATGCTGATATTTCCTCCCAATCTTTGTCCTAGTTATTATGTCCTCTAGGATATTGATAATATCTTCAGTGGAGGCATTTTTGGGTGCTCTACTCTTGACAGCATGCTCTAAATCCCCTCCACATTTTTTCAAAATCCTGAGGTGCATGTCTTCTTGTGACATGAATGGCCAGAGTGCTTGTAGTCTGTCTTTCTGAGCTAGGACCCATTTAATAGGTGAGTCTTTTTCTATATCAAACATGCTCTCGTCAAATTTATTTTCAACAGTATACCTCCAAGCTGGGCTACCCCATTTGGTGAGGATTTGTTCCTTCCACCAACTCCAAGGTTTTTTTCCATGGCTGGTTCTAATGTCATTGAACCATCTTCTGGCAGCTCCTTTAAATAGGCTGCTCAGCCTTCCTGAAACTGAAAGGTCTGATAATTCGAAATCTTCTTTAAGTAGATCTATGGTCCTCATGAACTCTAAATGGTCATATTCTCCTTCACCTGTGAATTTTGGCCAGTCTTTAATTCTAGGGATCTCAATTCTGCTCCCATCCTTATTGGTTTCCCTGATTTCTGAGTCCTGTTGGCTATGTAGCATATGGGTAGGGGTATGTCTATTATGGCATTCCTCAGGGGTCTTGGAACTCTGGGGATCATTATTTTGAAAATATGGGGCATTAATGGTTCTCTTTATCTCTTGACTGTGAGAACTACCATTAGAGTTCTGAATGAAGTTGCTGGTATTTTGAGTATACATTGGTACATTGACCATCTTTTTCAGTATCTCATCCAGTTTCTCATTCAATGTTGAAGTCAGCTTAATTTCCATATTATCTATTCTTGTGTTGATGTTGTCTTCTAGAGTACTCAGTCTATTATTTATGTTTTTCTCCATGTTTTCTGTTTTCTCTAAAATGGACATCATATTTTCCATATGTACTTCAGAAGTTGTATCACTATCCAAATGGAGTTGTTCCAGTTTTTCAGTGATGTCTTTGGTAATGGAAACATCATTTTTATTGAGTTTAGAGTATAAATCATTCCTCAATTTCTGTATTTCTAGAATAAAAAGGTCTTGGTTATCTGTTTTATCAGATTTTTCCTTTTCTTGATGAGAAGTTGTTTTTTCTTTGATTATTGAGTTATTATTCTCCATTCATTTGTTCAGAATAATGGTTTTTAACTCTTTCAGTGCTTGTACAATGCCAGGTATTTTCTTAGCTTCATTAATGCTAGCTTGGAATTCTTTATTGTACTCAGCAACTGATATTCCAAGTTGTCTCACATCATATTTGGTGTTGTAAGAAACATGTTTTATTTCATTGATCTTTTGGTCAATGTGCATAATGTTTTTAATAAGGATTTGATCAAAAAATTCTGTATTCTCAATCTCAGAGTTGTGGATTTCAGAAATTTTAGAGCTAGTTACAACAGAAGGAGTAGGGGGAACTTTAGAAGTACTAGCTATAGGTTGGGAGGAATTTATTGCTCTGCTGATTCCTTGAAGTCCAGCATGGCTTGGGCTAGGTGGGTTACCTTCCTCCAGCTTTCCTTTTCCGTGATCTTCTTTTTCTTTTGTGCAGCCTTCCCTCTGTTTTATCTCGGAGGTTTGCTTGCACCGGCTGTTGATTTTTTCTTCTTGGGTATCTTGTACCCCCTGAGTTTGTCCTTCATGGTGCCTGTCATTGTGTGCGCTTCTGCTTTTGGAGCGTTGGCCTTCTTCTTTTGTTCCTTGGTGTGGTTTGCCCAGAACTCTGCGACCTTCTTCTCTTTGTGAGGATTCCAGCTGTCGATCTTTGCGCTGATTTCCTTCCAGCCCAGGAAGATTTTGACTGTCTGGAAGATCTTGACCAATTGGTCGATCAGTTGCGGAAGAATCTCGTATTCTTCCACCGCCTTTGCGTTTGTGTACACCTTCTTCGACGTGATGAGCATGTCGATCAGGGTTAGTTGGTCGTTGGACAGGGGTTTCTCCCCGGTGGACGCTGGATTTAAGTGATGTCAGCGATGAGTCTGAGGTTTGAGGTTGTGAGGAAGAGGCTAACCTTTTGGTGCCTTGTCGATGACTACCTCGTGCACCTCTTCTTCCCCTTCCTTGGCCTCTTTGTGTTGAGGGAGGCTTTGCGCCATGGTCAACTCCTGACCTGGTAGACAACACCATGTTGGTTACTACTTATTTATGTAGTACAAAAAAAGAACAGAAAGTACTTCTAATAATTCTTTCGCCGCTATGATTGCGTCGAAATCCTTCTCAATAACTTGGGAGGGTACGCTCGCCGGTGGTAGTTTATCGGCCTGTTCAATCTTGATCGGACTTGCTAGCTCCTTAGGAGGTACAGATTGTGTACGGCCTATGGTGTCAGACACTAAAGCTCGTCTTTATTAAGTCTTCCTAGGCTTTAACTTCGCAACAACTAGTCTTACTTTCAACACTGATTAGTTGTTATAAAGCTTCGCTTTGGTATTTCAGTATTTATCGTTGTGTTTCTAAGAACGAATTGATGAGTGATCCTGGTCAGCTAAAGGCTCAACTAGCGTCTCTTTTCCTGTTTCTATCGAAAATTTTAGGAGAAAGGCTTATGGGCTAGCGATAACAATTCTCTAGCTGTTACTGTTGTTTTTTGTTCCACAACTGCTTGTCTAATTTCTTTATGAGAGCAGTATTGTATTATATTATTCTAGCAAGTTCGTCGTCTGTTCTATGTGAGAACGATCTTGCATGACTGTTCTCTAACAACGGCTTCGGCCTCTTTGTTCGATGTGAGAGCGACACTGTTTGAAACTGAGAAATCTCAATTTCACAGGTTGCTTTTAGAATCCTGTCAGTGACTTTGTTAGTTGTAGGTTCAGTCTACTGGATTCTTTCCTTGAGAAAACTCTCTCTCTCTCTCTCTCTCTTATGATTCTAGGAATGAATCGATGAACTGTCCTGGTCAGCTAAAGGCTTGGCTCAGGTTGTTTATTATGTTATTCTAGTAGAAAGATCTAGATCTCGGTTATGGCCGAGCAATATCTGTTCTTTCACTAAAGAGACTGATGGAAAGGTCCTCCCTCGACGATGCCTTTTTCCTAGTTCAATATGGGAACTTGGAAGCGTTAGACCTCTGTATTTGAATTTGATAATTTCAAATTCTCTGTTCTCTTTTCTAGAATTCTGTCAGTGATGTGACTACTTGCAGGATTATGTTTTACTGCTGGGTTCTCTCCTTGAGAAATTCTCACTACTCTTTCTTTTCTTTATATACAAGAGAGTAGAAAGGAAGAGAATGGACTTTCTGTACAAAAGCCTCTGGAAAGGTTTATCAATGATGAGAAATTTCCTGGTGTAGAATTCCTGTCAGAGCCAAAGGCAAGAATTCCCAGAAAATTGAATTCCAATACAGGGAAATTTCTAGCACAGACTTTCCTGATGAAAAAATTCTAATCAGGGAATTCTGATGATAAATTCTCAGCTGAATGGTGTGATGAGAAACAGGAAAATGGTGATTGAACCACAGAAATTTCTCTACAGGTGTATTGAAATTTGCTGGAATTTTCTATTAGAAAATTCTGGCTCTAAGATCAAGGGATCAGGCAGATGAGGCCCCCACTTGTCAGCTATGTGTATGAAACTTTGGCTTAGTGATATAAGAGCCAAGTACTATCACTGTGCTGAAGGACTCAGTTTAAAGACCAAGATTACTCCTAGTCACCCTCAAAGTATTAAGTGGTCCAAACTTCCCACTTAAGAGGTTATAAAGTCCACACTCCCCAGTTAAAGACACTTGAATAATCAAGAGAGCACTGTAGGAGACAATAACAGAATATGTTATTGTAGAGTGTTTGGAAGCAATAATTAATATTGCAAGAAGTAGCTGGCAAGCACCTGAGCTGAAAGGCTACAGTCAGAGGTGGTGGTCTTGCAGCAACTACTTTTTAAGGAATTAGTTAAGTTTTGAGTCTGGGATAACTCTCAACTTAATAATAATTCCAGTAAGAAGGTAGGGTTGGATTGGATAATAAAAAGACTACTCTAAAAGTAGGAGGAGAATATTCACTGTACTCACTTAGTTTGTTGGGGGTGAATATGCTGAGGAACCAATCCTAGGCAGGAGAAGGCCTCCTTAAATATTCTAGAGGTCCCCTTGAGGCCCTCCTTAGAATATTCTAGAATCTCTCTTTTAGTATACCATGGTAGAATTATTCCCCTGATGTAATGGGAATAATTCAAGGTATTTCAAATAATGTATATTCTATGTCCCATGACATCATGATGCATGTTTATAGCCAATTACATCATGTGTCTCCTTAAATAGAATATTACTAGTAGAAAGTACCACACTCTTGACATAGTGTGGTAATTTCTTTTCTACAAGTTTTAATAAATTGATTATGCTTGTAGAATAAAATTTCTAAGGTTACCCTAAATGTATATTTAACCCTAATTTAATATACATTGATTTCATTCTATAAATTTATATATTTTATTCCTTTTGTCCTTCAAGAGTTTGAATATATACAAAGTCCTTGAAGGAGTGGGAATTTGGGGATAATTCCAGTGCACAACCCCCTTTATAGTCTTATGAAATATTGTTTTATTAAATAATATTATTACATATTATATTACATATTGAGTATTTTAATACTTAATATTCATTTAGCAGTCTTTTGGATACTATGGAGTATCTCTAAGGCTGACAAGTTTGGCAGCAAGTGTAAGGACTAGGAATGTCCTTCACTGAATGAGCCGGGGAAGATGCTGATTGGACGGGCTAATGAGCCTAAGCGGATTCTAAGACCAAACACGGGGGGGGATTTGATTTCTGACTCAGAGAGATGGAAGGGAAGATCTCTCAGTACAATCTAGAAAAGAAGAAAACAAGAAGAAAAGGAAAATGAAAGAGAGAATGAAACTCACCTGACTCAGAGAGATGGAAGGGAAGATCTCTGCAGAGCCAGGAAGGGGAACTCAACAATGAAGACTACAAGGGAGGTGTGACATCTGATTGAAGGGTTTGTGAACCAAGCCGGAGGGGGGGTTTACAGTCTCCCCTTGTATAAAAAAAATTGAAGAAAGAGAAAAAGAAATAAAATAAAATAACACACAAAAAAAATTCACAAAAGAAGTGGGAAGAAAAGGAAGAGAGAGAGAGAAGGAAAAGAGAGAAAAAAAAAAAATAAGGAAGGCGGAAATTTGAGTCAAGCGCGTCCTGGGTGACCGGCGATAGCATCCGCTGTAAGACTCAAAAAGTGGTTGTAAGACCCTTTTTGCTGAATGGAGAAGGGGATGGTGGAGGTGCAAGCTCTGCCCTTCTATACTATCAGATAACAAGACCCACCAAGCTCAGCTTGGCAAGTTTTAATCAAGTGATAGGGTAAGTTCAGGAATGAGTTTGTGTGATGCTGAGAAATGAGTTTAGTTGTTATTGGTGTTTGGTAAGGTTCTGTAAAGGTGGTGTATCTTTGATTGAGTGGTACTAAACTTGTGACTGATGAATAATACACTGAGGAGACAACAACTGGGAGGAGAGCCTCCTTATATAGACAATAATGAGGGAATTTAGCTCCAGGGCAGCCAATAATGAGTGATTTTGGCTGGCCTGGGCTATTACATGAGGGGTTTTAGCTACATACATAAGTTGAATGAGTGAACGTGATTGGTCAGACATGTACAAGAGTTGAAGTGGTGATCCAAACAGTTGAAAGAGTGATTCTGATTGGTCAGGTTCTGCTGTGTTTACAAGTGAGTGTGGTGGTGTAAGCTGCAGCTGTCATGCATGGAAAATACACTAATTTAGGCTGCAGGTATGATGTAATATGTAGAAGTGAAATGTAAAGAGTGTAGATGTATGTAAATGAGTGTATATGTAAATGAGTGTGTACTGTACTGAGGGTGTCTGTGTAGCTTGAGAGTTGTAATTGGGTTTGGTGATATGTAATGATGGGTGAAATCCTTGTGATATGTTGTCCATTGTTGGGTAAGAGTTGATCCAGGTGTGTTCCAGTGACGCCTCCAAGGTGAACAAGGGTGAATTTGTCCGTAGAGTCCAGTTCTTGAGCCGTATGGTGTGATTTCTGAGAGAAATTAGGTGATAATATGAAGAAAATATATATATAAGAAAAGAAAAGAAAAAAGTTTGAATTTTCACACTTTTGACTACCACAGCCTCCCCCAACTTATTGTCTGTCCCCAGACAATTTATCAGGAAAAAATGTGAAGAAAAATAGAGAAAGAGTTAATTTTCAACATGAAATGAAGTGAAAAGGGTAGTAGGTATTTGGAAAAACATGGGGAAAAAAATGAGTGTGATAGCCTCCCTCAACTTTGCAGTGAAGCCAAGCTGGGGTGGCCATTTTTTTTTGTGATTTTTAAACTTAAACTTAATTTTTACAGCTGATTTAACAGGTTTTCCCCTGTAAATGTTAGTCTGGTACCCCCCTTCTGCCCAATAGTTCAGAGGTGGGGGCATTTTCTTTTCTTTTTATTTTCCATTTTGTTTTTTTTGTTTTTTATTCTTATTTTTATCTTGCTACATACAGATTTTAATGTATGCTGTGCACTGTGCGCAGCTATGCAGCATTGGATGTCCGGGTGACCCTGCAGTTGAGGTGGACTAGGCATGGATTCTGAATTAGCTGGAAAGCCCCTTGGGAGGGGCCCAAGAGGTTTTCTGACCGTTCGGGGGTCGAGTACACCACCAGTGCAGTTGGACGTCCCAGGGGCAGGGTCCAGGGGGACGGCCCCAGGACAGCAGCCCCCACATACCAGAGCATCCCAGGGGCGTGCTCCTCCACAAATAAAAGGCCATCTCTGGGATGTCCTTGTGGAGCATCCTCGTGACGGCCCCCCAATTCATCCCACTTCCGTCCTGGAGGTGCTTCAGGGATGTCTCCTCAAATAATTTCCATCAGCAGGATTTTTGAATGTGGCGTCTCTGAGCCGTCACCCAGACGGCATTGTGCCAATTCTTTGGCATAAAAAAAATGTCTCATGCACATCCACCAGCTAGCCCAAGGATACTCATTGCACAATAATCACACAGTGAATGAAATAGTGAAACGATATGCATTGTCAATAACACACTGAAACATATGATTGGCCATTTACAACAACAAAAAATGTACAGAAATCTGATTGAGAAATGCACCAGTGCAAATCAGCCTGAAAAAGAAACAAGCATTATTTACATGAGAAAAGAAAAAGGCAAACAACCCAAGTGGGTTCTTCAGACATGGGGCCAGGCGTGTCCGGTGCAGGCGAGGGGGATTGGTCGCTGCCTTGATACTCGCTCTCGGAGGGTGAAGAAACAACTACAGACATGGCAAACAGAAATCAGACTGTTGTCCAAGTGTGTTTAAGTCCTGTCTGAGCTACTTGAACCAAACGCAAGCCAGGAGAGATCTCAAAATCAAAATGGATCCTACTCAAACACTACATACAAAAGAAAGATGTTATCAAAACTCACCCCAGTCAGGAAGCTGTCCGGACTGCGAGGCGCAACAGCGATCAAGTAGTATCAGTCGAAGTAGCGCGGCTATCGACTGTCGCGAGTTTCTATCTGAGGAAATTGTAATCGCCAAAGAAAGGATATCTGTCGAAGTAGCGGTCTCAGCTATTGTCCGTCGCGAGTATCTGAAGAAAATGTAAAGACAAAAAAATACCAGTTAGAAACGACAGCTATCGTCCGTCGCAAGTATCTGAGCAAATGTAAACACAAAAAAAGATGACTTAGAAATGAAAAATAAACGAATTGATGTGGAAGGGATGGGATGGATACTGCAGGGAAAACAAAGGAAAAAATAGGGATACTGACCTTTCACTGTGTTGCAAGGATTGGCTCGAGAAGTGTTCTTCCTCGCCAGAATCGAGAAGTCGTCCGGGTCGATTGAATAACTATCGGGCCTAACGCGAGCAAGGATAGATCTTCAATCAAAAATCCTGCCCAAATACTGCAGGGAAAAAAAAAGAAAAAAGTAGAGCGATACTGACCTAGCTTAGAGCCGCTGCGAGGTTGTATTTGAGATAAGCAAAAACAGAAGAAAGAGTCGGTCGATGTAGCTCGGCAATCGTCCTTCGGTTGTATTTGAGATACTCGATGACAGAAAAGAAAAAAATTGATAATCAGATGGTGGGTTTGAAGAGCGGAAATAGCCAAAGGTCGATGAAAGACAGGGAGGTATCAGCGTCCACAGTCGATGATGAACGGAGGTCGATGAGCAAGATAGATGATGAAGAACGGAGGTCGTTAAACTCTTGAATGAGTGAAGGGATGGGATGGAGAGATCCAAGGACACAGGGGACTTTGTCCGCGCTCCTCCCTCGATGTTGTTAGACTGAACTGCGACAACCAATCCCAATCGGGTTGGTTGTCGCTGATCCTCCGTTCTCCACCAGGAAGAGGCAGCCAACCGCTTGCATGAACCACAGCTGGTGTGGGTGATGATCTAGACCAGATGCAAGTCAATCTAGACGACTTTTTGAACGCCCTTGATGAAGTCAAACCCGCATTTGGTGTTGCCGAAGAGGAACTCAAGTCGGTTATTCAAAACGGGATCAACAAATTCTCTCCTCCAATCGATGTGAGTTTGGGTATGGTGCCCTCTTATTCTCACCGGCAGCCTTCAGAGATCACGCGTAACTCATGCTGATCTCTTTTTATTCACAGGAAATTCATCACGATGGCAAACTGTTTGTAGAACAGGTTCGGATGAGTACTTGGACGCCCTTAGTCAGTGTATTGATACATGGTAAGCTTCTCATTGACATCCAACTTTTAAAAGGATAAACCCATTAACTAATTACGAAGAAAAAATCGCAATTCAGGTCCTCCTGGTTCTGGAAAAACTGCTTTAGCTGCATCAATCGCACAAGCGTCCGACTTTCCATTCATCAAGTTGATCGCACCCAAAAATATGGTCGGCTGCTCTGAAGCGCAAAAGATCAACTACCTTTATAAAGTCTTTTCTGATAGTTTGATAGTTTGATGAACTGGGGACGGCTCAGGGGCAATGATGTCCCTGGGCTGCCATAAATTTTTTAAGTTGGACGTCACAGGGATGCCTGGTGGGGACAACGACGTCCTGGGGATGTCGTCCCGGCCCGGGGACATCTCAGGTACATTGGCGTCCCTGGGCCGCCCTAATTTTTGTGAATGGTGATGTCCTGGGGACGGCATCCCGTCCCAGGGACATCTCAGGGGCAATGGCATCCCTGGGATGCACTGATTTTTCTGAAGTGCCCTGGGTGTGTATTGGTTCAGAGGTCGCGCGAGGTTGGAAGAGGGCTGCGGCCGCAGCGGAGAGCGCGGGGCCGCCGTACTTCGTTCCGTGTGCGACATTGCGGTCCGGTTTTGAGCTCACTAGAAGCATTCGGGCAGCCGGTGCTGATTTCGATTCCGGTCAATACCAACAACAGCCGGCGACGTCCTCCACCATTTCCCGGCTTCCGATTTCTTCCGCGGTCTTCGATCGGATTTGCGATGCATCGACGACAGGTAAGTGGTTTCTTTCTTCTCAAAAGTTCTATTAACAGTGAACACTGAGTCCTGCCTTTCTATTGGTCAGGCCTCGTCGGTTTGCTTCGCTTATCTTCCATCTGCCAAACCGAGCACGGTGATTGGCTAGGATCGGCTCACACCGAGCTGTAGCGCCTCGCGAGGTTGTTTTCAAGGATCACGTGAGCTTCATTTTATTTGTTCCCCTCGGTTGTTGTGTGTAGAGTCAAGATTTTAAAAGAAGGGCCTTGCAACCTATTTTTCATCGCACTTAGAGCTGTGATTGATCAAGCTTTCTATCCAACCCGATCCGTGAAGAAGACTGCACCCGCCCATCGGATTTTGTACAACGATTTGTTTAACGATGTCCATGTGGTATCGATCTAGCCTCAAGAGGTATGCGAGCGGGTCCAGGCTTTCCAAATTGCATATAAGGTACGTCCGACGTCATTTGTATCACTCTCCACCACCCTATTCAAGACACCAACTCATAGCCACCTGTTGAAATGGAATCGCTACTTCTATCGTTGTCCTCTTCAACGTTCGATCAGTCGTGAAGTCTCCAAGAAGATCGATTTCCGATTGACCAAATAAAAACAACAGTCGGCTGAGTTGTTTGGTGAGTGTTTCCTGCTGTCTGTGGAGAGGCTGAATGAGTAGTTCAAGCACTTCAATGTGAAAAAAAAAAAAAAAAAAAAAAACCTGAAAATTTTAAACAGTGAACAGAATAAAATGAAGCAACCCTCCCCCAACTATGCAGGTTGTCCTCAACCTTCAACTGAGTCATTCCAGAAAGTTGAGTGGGTGATTGAGGAAGGTGAGAAAAGACTCAAAGAAATCCAAGAGTAAGGAATGATGGTATGGTAAGAGTGTGTAAATTTTGAAGGTGTGGGAAAATAAGAGATTTACAGATAATAATGGGGTGAAGATTGGTTCAAGTGAGAAAGGTAAATAAGGTAAAAAAATGAAAGAATATGAGAAGATGGTTTCAATGGAGTTTTATGGATGAAAAATGGGTAAAGAGTGGTGTGTGGAGGTCAAGTTGGTTGGGTGATTTTTTTTTAAGGAGTTTCTTGGGTGAGTGAGAATCTGGAATAAAGGATAAGGTAAGGGGAGTGAGGGGAAGCTGAGAGGTAAAAGGCCTGAGGTATAAATGAATGTGAGTCCTCCCCCAACTTGAAAAGAATTAATCTGGCTGATGTTGAAGATCTTTAAACTATATTTTGTCCTTTAATTTTTATGTTTTCAACAGTTTAGTCTCATGCCCAGGAGGTGGCTTAATTTTTTATGAGGTTTTTAAGGTGTAAAAAATTTTAAACAGGGAAGTATAAGGTTCTGTGAATGAAGGAAGGGGGAAGGTTGAAAGAGTGACTGATAAAAGAGTGTGGGTTCCTCCCCCAACTTAAAGAAATATTCTGATGTTGTATTCTTGAAGGCTGATATATTCTTCTTGAATTTGACAGAAAAATATTGAAAATGATTTTTGTTTAATCTTTTTAACCAACTCCAACCAGTAATCTTGGGGGTTTGATGTTTCCATAAGATTTTTGAAGAGGGTCTGGCGGAATTGATAGGGGTAACTGAGAAAGGATCTTCTGAAGTAAATAAAATAGAAGAAATAATTCCTTTGGTAATTGTCTAGTTTCCCGGTTTGCTTCATTCTTTGGACTAATTGATGTTGTCATAATATCTGGCGGATCTGGCGGTGTTGGAATTGAAAAGACTTTTTCAGGAATTGATGCGGTTGAAATTGATGGTGTAAATGGTTGGCTGGAAATAGGCAAGTCTGTTGTTTCAAGATTTTCAGGAGCCAATGGGGAATGAACACTAATAATCTTGTCTTTTGGTTCTTCAATTTGGGTATTCTCAATTTCCAGGTGTTGAGACAAGTGGTTATTGATTGGCAAAAGTCCAAATATGTCCAAAAGAGGCTTAAACAGTTGCTTGTTGAAGATCTTGATTTCCAAATATTTGTTGATATTAAGCATCCAAAATTTTCCGCGGATTTCAGGGAAGTTGTTAAATTTTGTAGAGGTGTCTGTCAGTAGTAAAGAATTATTATTGGACCGTGGGGACTGATCCAATGTTTCCAGTTGTGTAGATTGATTTGAGCTTTCTTCCTTGGTCTCTAATCCGTCTAGAGATATTCCTGGGATGTTGATTACTGTATGTGCAAGCTCCATTGGTGTATCCATTACGTTTATTGATGCCGCTTTCCATTCTTCCAGATCCAGTAGTTTGGTAGTTGTGACTGGTTCTGTCATGTTCAATAAGGCCACAGGTATGGTAACATCAATTGACTTTTCTGTATCAGCAATGGTGGGTTCCGTTGTAAAGCTCAAAAGTGTTTGTGAAAACCTTTTGCTGAGTGTGGAAAGGGATGAATGAGGATACCTCTGCCTTTCCTGGATCACTAGACACTAGACAAGCCCACCAATCTCAGATTGGAAGGTTTAATAAAGTGATAGTGGAGTGTATCAAAAGATAACTGTGGCTTAACAGGTGGACAAAGGGCTTAACCGCAGTTTTATGAGGGTCTAAAAGGTTGATTTGAGAGTGA